GATGAGAGTGAGAGATGAGACTTGATCTCACCTGAACAACTGGATGAAAACTATTGTCTTAAAACTTAATTTATATTTATATTATTTCTTCTTTTTATCTTTTAACTATTTTCTTTCCTCTAATGATATATTCAGTGCTTACCACTTTTCTTTAATATATCTACAGTCTTTTATAATTAAGTTACTTTTCTTTTCATTTATTGGTATTTTTTGTTTAATATCTCTTCTTCTTTTTCTCTTCTCAACTTTCTATTTTTTTTTTATTTTTTTTTTCCTCTGTATTTCAGAAAAGGAAATTATTTCACTCAATTTTTTTATTTGATTGAAAAGTACTTTTTTTCAAACTATAAATAATATAACTAGATTTAAATAAAATCAATCAATTAATTAGAAGTGTTTGGATTTTCATTGTTATGTCCTCCTGTTTCATCCATGTTTTGGGTTTGAATTATTTGAGGCTCTTCATCACTGAAAAAATCACCAAGTTGATTTGCAAATGTTGGTTCTAAGTTTGAGTCATTAAATTCAATAAATAAAGAACTTTGGAGAATAGAACCTCTTAAAAAAGCATTTTTAAATTGTTGATATTTATCATTTTGTAAAAGAAACTCACTTTGTTGAATAGTTGTTGCAGTGAAGTTATCTCCATATTTATTCTCGTAAACAACAATTCCTTTTTCTATATCATCTTCAGATAAACAAACTGCTCCACGTGAAACATCAAGAAAGATTCCAAATCCATTTGTGCAAATTATACGATGTTCTGTGAAACAATTATTACAAACAAGACAACCACAATTTAAACAAATTTTTTTTGTTAAAACATCTCCATCAGTTTCATGACAATTACAACATTTTTCTATTGAATATTTATTAACAAGTTTTAATATAGTTTTTGGTAAATGTTTAAATTCAAATGGACGAGGGATACTTGGAATGGTTAATGCAAAAACATTACTAAATTCATTTATATATTGTAAAAAATTTATTTTTTCTTCTTTTTCGTTTATACAATTATTTAATAAATTAATACTTGTTTGGTATGTTTCACATAATTTATTAATGGCTTCTTGAATGGTATTAATTTTATCAAATTCTGAACATTCAACACATTCTAGTTTTTTTTTACTAAACTTTTCTAATATTCTTCCTTTAAGTAATTTAGGTTCTTTACTTGCAATAACAGCTAATGCCCCTTTAACTTGATACTTATGAACGATTTCTGTTGGTTCTTTAAATGCTTTTAGTGTAATATAGGCAAAAAATGGATCTACTAAATCAATTTTATCTAATATAAACTTCTTATTTGACTCATATTCTTCAGATAATATTTGAATTGCTAAAAACATTGAATAAATAATATCTTTATCTTCTTCGCTCATTAAAACTCCACTTCTTAAGCCAATTTCAATTGATGATATAGTAGAATGTATACACCATGTTATTGCATCAAAAGAATTTCCATCTTCAATTTCTATTTCTAATATTGATTTGAAAGACTCTTTAATAAATTCTTTTGTTTTGCCATTTTGGATAATACTTTTACTTAAAGGTATAAATTGAGAATAATTATTTACACAGACAGGACAAGTACTTCGTTCACCTCTCATCTCTTCAAAACATTTCAAATGAACGTGATGAGAACATGTAGTTACATTTAATGGTGCAAACGTTTTTCCACCTTCATTAATTCTTTGAATCTCCACACTTCCATTTCCAGATAGAAAAATAAGTCTACCCATTGGACTTTTTTCATCCATTTGACAAATGACACATTCATCATTTTTATTTTCTGTTATCTTTTCAATACTTTTATGATATAATTCTTGTTTCTTTTTCATTAATAACAAAATCTTTTTCTTCATTTCTTGTTTTTTCATCTTTGGTTTTTCTTTAACTTCGATATCATTTTGTAGTATTGAACGTTCAGGAACTGATGCAAATCCTTCTAACAAATAACTTTTTATTTCATTTACAAACTCTTTACTTCCAGGTAATTCATTTCTGTGAATCCCAATAAAATATCCAATAGCTTTAACAACTTCTTTAAATTCTTCATTTTTGAGAAATTCATTTGATTCGAACAAGTGAAAATGATATCCGTCATGAATAAATAACATCCCAAGTTCTATAGAATCACAAATAAAATTTTTATTTTTTGTATTTAGTTTTTGTATTAATTGAACAAAGAACTTATATACCCAAATAGATTTTAATAATTGTTTAATACCATCAAAAACAAGTTCATCTTTAAACCCAAACTCAAACCGATTACTTTTAATTGATTTGTTATTAAAAACTGTTTGTTTGATTAATGATTCACGATGAATTTGTCCAAATAATGGATATACTGGATTAACTTGAGGTAATAACTTCTTTTTAATAATTCCTTTTTTTTCACAAACAACATCATAATTTCGTTCTAATGGTAAACTGTCATATGGAGTTTGTTGTACAATTACTGATGGTGCTGAAATTCCAGCAGCTGTAAAATGAAGAATCATTTGTTGAAATATTTCAGAGTCATTGAGATTTGATGTAATTGTTTGTTCTCTTGAAATTTCTATTAAAGAACGAATAAACCCAGTTACTTGATATGGTGATTCAATCTGAAGATCAGAGAGATGATATTGTTTTGTAAGGTCAATATTACTTACATCAATACCTAATAAATTAAACATAACAAATGATGTTAAAAAAAATTGTTTTGGTGAAACATAAGAAAGTAATAATTGAACTAATGTAAGGTCAAGTAAAATAGGTTGAAAATAATAAGTACTAACATAATAATAAAATTGTTGTTCAGCTTCACCACCATTTCTTACCCAATCACCATTAATATACTGTTCTTTAAATACCTGTGATAAAATTACGTGTTCAATTAACAATAAAGCATCTTCATTTGATATTTCTGGTTTTTTATTATTTTTATTTAAATTTAATAATACTTCACAATAAAAATTAAGTAAAGGACTTAAAGGTGATACTGGTTGATTTTTTCCACAAAGTCTTAAATGAATTTGTTCATTTTCTACATTAATTATTGGTACTTCAACTAAATATTTTCTGACTGATTTCATTACTTGTGAATGTATTGAAGGGAAATAATTGAACAATGAATTTATTGAAGCAGTATCAACAATAGCTTCAATCATTTCAATTGAATTTTCAGTAATATAACTTGTAGAATCAAAATAATAATTATCATATTCAACATGTGTTCCTTCTTTAATAATAATAGGTAATGAATTAGAACATAATGACAATGCTTGAATAAATTTATTGTAAATTGTATCAGTAAAATCAACAACTGGCATTTTAGGATGTTCTACAATAAACCAAAATAAGAAGTTATTAAAATTATCAGTGAGAACATTAGCAGTTTTAAGACTATTAGAATACTCTTGTTCATATAATATTTTTTTTCCACAAAAAATATTAGTAAATAATGTATACATTAGATCTAAAGTATGTTCTAATCTATTTGATTTAAAATAATATTTAATGTAATCATCTTTAGAATTAGTAAAATGAAATGTGAGGTCTTGTACTAACTTTTCGTTATTAAATGATCCACTAATTGAATCAATAGATAATTGATATATTATTTCTGGAGAGAATTTAAAAAGATGTAATTCAGTCATATACTTAGTTAAAAATTCTTTTAAATTCTCACAACCAACTCCACGAGTAAAACACAATTCAAAGAAATATTCAAAATAAGATAATGATTTTTTATTTAACTTTTCTTTAATTGAAGAATGAATAAAATTAGGAATATTTTTATTGCAAATATCAGCAAAGAGAAGAAAAAATAAGTTACATGATGTAAGTGCATTAATTACAATAATAATTTTTTGTACTTTAGAATTCATTTCTTGTTGACTTTGAATCGTTATTTCATTAATCATTTTTTCTAAAATAGTCTCAATCCCTTTAAATTCTGAAGGTATTTGTTCAACAACATTCCCTTTAAATTGGTTTCCATGTTCACTACAAAATCCACTTCTTTTCCATGCACGTTCATTTCCACAATCACATGTAAATGTCCCTACTGTTGCATATGCATATGCATCATGTCCTTCATGATTCCCTTTTGAAAAACAAGTAGAACAAATACATGAAGTATCATCTATTCCACATGTTTTGCATCTATAAATAATTTCTCTATGCTTTCCATCTCCTTGATGTTGACAAACACATAAGGGAATAATTCCACTACACTTAACTAATAGAGTTGATAATGGAACATGATAATATTCTTTCCAAAAATCTTCTACATTGACTTCTTCTTCCATTATTTATTTAACTGAATTTTAGGGTTTCTTTTTCTGAAAACTCATATCATAAACTCTGTTTTGTATCACGTTTTTTTACAGTAAAATTATAATATTTTGTTATTTAATTTAAAATTGTTTTTGTTTATGAATTTGGTTTTGGTTATTTAAATATTAATCCATACTAAAACAAAAAGTCTTTTATTATCGCTACAATTGCTGTAAATTAACTGATGTTTTGTTGTTTCTTTAAGGTTATTATAAAATTAAAATAATAATATCTAATTTCTTTAAAAAAAGAGCATCATGAGAAAACATTCTCTTAATAAATATAATAGCAAAGTTAATAACAATTCTTATATTTCCAATAATCCACATAACTCAATTTCATTAGAACAAGTTGATTCTTTATGTGATCGATTATTAGTAAATTAATTTTTCATTTCTTAGTTATTGTTATTTAATGTGAAAGAATTTAGAATAATTGATTATTCATTAGAATCTCAAATAAATATAAAAAAAACATTATTTTATTATAATAATAATTGTGTTTTTTAATTTATTTTTTAAATATTTTTTTTTAATATTTCAATTATTTATTTTTAACTATATTTTACTAATAAAAAAACAATAATAAACTATAAATAAATTTGTTGAAGGTGAAGAAAAGAAAAAAAACTAAAAAATACAACAACTTAACAAACCAAAACAGTCTGAATTGAAATGAGTACTACAACTGCACCTAAACAACACCAAAAAGGTGAAATGAAAGAAGGAAAAGAAGGAGAAAAAAATATTAGACAAACTAATATCATTGCTGCTAAAAGTGTGGCTGATGCAGTTCGTACATCACTTGGACCAAGAGGAATGGATAAAATGATTATTTCACCTAATGGAGAAACAATCATTACCAATGATGGAGCAACTATTATTCAACAATTAAAACTTCAACATCCATGTGCATTAATGATGTCAGAATTATCTAAATCACAAGATATTGAAGCAGGTGATGGAACAACTACTGTAACTATTCTAGCTGGAGCTATGTTATCAGCAGCAAATATCCTTTTAAATAAAGGAGTTAATCCATCAGTAATTGCTCGTGCATTCCATTTAGCATCAGCCAAATCAGCAGAGATATTAAAAGAAGCATCAATTCCAATTGAATTAACCGATCGAGAGAGTTTATTAAAAGCAGCAAATACATCACTTAATTCTAAAGTTGTAAATCAATCAAGTCAAATATTTGCACCAATTGCTGTTGATTCAGTAATGAAAGTTATTGATATTAACACAGCAAGAAATGTTGATTTAAGAAATGTTAGAATAACAAAAAAGATAGGAGGAACAATCGATGATACAGAACTTATTGATGGACTTGTATTCCTTCAAAAAGCATCACATGTTTCAGGAGGACCAACTCATGTTGAAAAAGCTAAAATTGGAGTATGTCAATTTTGTATTTCACCACCAAAAACTAATATGGATGGAAATGTAGTAATTACAGACTATGCACAAATGGATAAAGTTTTAAAGGAAGAACGAGCATATACATTAAAACTTTGTCGTGCTATTCAAAAAAGTGGATGCAATGTATTGTTAATACAAAAGTCTATTTTACGTGAAGGAGTTAGTGATTTAGCACTTCATTTTCTTGCTAAATTAAAAATTATGGTAGTTAAAGATATTGAAAGAGATGACATTGAATTTATTTGTAAAACAATTAATGCAGTTCCAATTGCTAGTATTGAAGGATTTACTGAAGATAAATTAGGATATGCTGAAAATGTAGAAGAAGTTAGCATTGAAGATGAAGATAAAATAGTTAAAATTACAGGTGTTAAAGGAACTGCGCCATGTGTTTCAGTTCTTGTTAGAGGAGCAAATAGATTAGTTCTTGATGAAGCAGAAAGATCATTACATGATGCATTGTGTGTTGTTAGATCATTAGTAAAATGCAAATATTTATGTCCAGGAGGTGGAGCCATGGAAATGGAATTATGTTGTAAATTAAAACAATGGGCAGAAACATTAAAAGGAGAATATGGATTGTGTGTTAAAGAATATGCAGAAGCATTTGAAATTATTCCATATACACTTGCAGAAAATGCAGGATTAAATCCAATGGAATTAGTAACTCAATTAAAATTAGCTCATTTAAATGGAGAAAAGAACGCTGGTATTTCAATGAGAAGAGACAATAAAGTACAAGGAAGTGTTGAAGATATGAACTCACTTAATGTAGTCAATCCATTATTAGTATTCTTATCAGCAGTAAAACTCGCTACAGATACAGTTGCATTAATATTAAAAATTGATAACATTGTTGTTGCAAGATGAATGAGTGGAGATGATAAAAATAAATTGATTTAATTCTCTTTGGTCATTAATAAAATATTTCTTTAATGTCTTTTGATAAGTTATAACAAATAAAAAAATTTAAAAGAAAAACAAAAGTTAAAGGAAAAATGGAATTAATACAAAAAAAAGAAAAGTTTTATTTTAACTTTTAAATGATTAATATTCATCTAACATATTTTGAATTCTTGTTTGTCTTGATGTTACAAAGTCTTTAATTTTTTCATCATCAACAGCACTATCTAAATTCAAATGATTTGGAGCATCATCAATAATCTTTACTAAAGAGCGACAAATCTCATCAAAAGTAATTCTATCTTGTGGATTTTGTTTCCAACAAGATTCAATCATTATTTTTAATAATAAGGGCATTGTTTCATCTATTCTAAGTCTTTTACCTTCTTCAACATATTGTTTAATTTCAAATAATGATTTAAATTCTTTATAAGGTTCATCTTGATAAAAAATTTCCCAAGAAGTAATAGCAAATGAATACACATCACCTGCTGGAGTATATTCATCTCTATAAGCTTCTGGAGCAAGATAAATTGGAGTACCAAGCCCTTTATCATCAGAGTTTGTATTATTTTTCTTGGTAAATCTTGAAGTACCAAAATCAGTAATTTTTACACAACAAGCAGAATCAGCAAATAAAGAATTAACTAATAAATTGTCTGGTTTAAGGTCTAAATGAAGAATATTATTTTCATGAAGAAAACTCATTCCTCTAGCAGTATCATATAACATTCTTAATTTTAAATTATATGGAAGTATAAGAAAATCTTTACTTGATTTTCTTATATATTCACTCTAATGAACCTAAAACAAAGA